TTTATTTGAGAGAGAGAGAATGAGAGACAGAGAGCATGAGAGGGAGGAGGGTCAGAGGGAGAAGCAGACTCCCCGCCGAGCAGGGAGCCCGATGCGGGACTCGATCCCGGGACTCCAGGATCATGACCTGAGCCGAAGGCAGTCGCCCAACCAACTGAGCCACCCAGGCGCCCTCGCTGCTCCTACTTCTGAAGTTTCATTCCTAGAAGGCCCAACACAAGGCCCACCTCCTCCACGAAACTTACTCTGATGCCCCTCTTCAGAAATAGCTGCTGCCTCCCCTGAGCTGTTTGTTTCCTTCTGTTTTACACAGGGCGCAATGCCAGATGCTTAGCCCTCTGGTGCTATGGTCTGAATGCCGGTGTCTCCCGGCTGAAACCCCAACCAAGCTCCAAGGTGTGGGATTAGGAGGCAGGGCCTTCGGGAAGTGATTAGGTCATGAGAGAGGGTCCCACATGAGCAGAACTAGTGTCCTGATAAAAGGACCCCAGAGAGCTCTCTCCCCGCTTCTCCAGGTGACGACACAGCAGGAAAACGCCATCTGTGAACCTGAAGCAGGCCCTCACCGGACACGGCATCTGCCTCAATCTTGGACTCCCAGCCTCCAGAAGCGTGACCAATAAATGTCTGTTGTTTCCCAGCGGCCCAGTCAGTGGTGGTCTGTTTTGGCATCCCGGACGGACTGAGACACCGGCTGGACTGTGAGGTCAGGGGCCAGGGCTCTCTGTGACCCCTACAAGCACTAAGCACGTGCTCTAAGAGAAGAAGGTGCTCTCATTCTTTGGAGGAACTGAGAACACAGGCCCCCGACCCAGGAAAGGCAGGGTCAGAGGGCCCAAGGAGTCAGGGTGAGAACCTGTCTGCATGATGACTCACCCCACCTTCCCATGCCAACCAGAAGCTGCACTTTCAAGGAATGGGACACAGAGGAAGCCCTCCAGCTGCTTCTCCTGCCAACAAGCCAAGAGACCTCTTTGTTTAATAAGAAACCTCTCCTGTTGCTTCAATCTGCATAAAATTTAAAGCTCATTTTATGAATGCTACCCAAGGACGTCTGTTCTCCTTAAAACTTCCCCAGTTGTCCCAGATGAGAAATCAGGTCAGGATGAATGGGGAAGAAAAGTATCAACTGCCTGAAATAAGTGTGTGCTCCCGGGGCAGATCCATGAGGCCTACCCACAGGACGGGTTACCTACGGACGGCTGCACGGGATGGGGGAGGCCTCCAGGAAGCCACAAGCGCTCAGCTGATGAAAACTGCTCAAAAAGGCGTCAGCAGAAAGTCTCTAGGTTAGCACCGGCGTGCTGAGCTGTTAGCCGTGTCAAGCTGAGAGCCAAAAGGGGACAGGCTACCCGCTGACCTAATGCTAGCCCGGGCAGTCGACCAGGCACCAGCTGTCATAGAGAAGACACGACACCCAAGGCTTCCCCCACCAATTTTCTCTTACGCGGACTGTAACTTGCCGTTCTTTTCCCAAATGGTGTTTGTTAAGGAGACATAAGTGGGAAAGCAGAGGTGATGTTTTGTTGTTGTTTTGTTTTATTTATTTATTTATTTTTTTAAAGATTCTATTTATTTATTTGACAGAGAGAGACACAGCGAGAGAGGGAACACAAGCAGGGGGAGTGGGAGAGGGAGAAGCAGGCTTCCTGCTGAGCACGGAGCCCAATGCGGGGCTCGATCCCCAGGACCCTGGGATCATGACCTGAGCTGAAGGCAGACGCTCAACGACTGAGCCACCCAGGTTCCCCGTTTTGTTTTTTTTAAAGATTTTATTTATTTGCCAGAAAAAGCACAAGCAGGGGGAGTGGGAGAGGGAGAAGCAGGCTTCCCGCTGAGCAGGGAGCCCGACTCGGGACTCGATCCCAGGACCCTGGGATCATGACCTGAGCCGAAGGCAGACGCTTAACCAACTGAGCCACCCAGGCATCCCACGGAGGTGATGTTTTTATCGTAAGACATTGCTCTTGCCTTGCCTTTCCTTAGCTTCGTAGAGAGAGACCGCAAACAAACAGTAATAGCCAGTCTCCATCTGACCACGGAAAGAGCATGGCCTGTCATTAGGTGAGACTGAGCCAGGAGGAATCCTCCAGGAGGCCGGCAGTGCTCCCCATGGCTGACCCCACCGCTCATTCCACTCCAAGGGACAGGTCCAAGCCAGCCAGACATTCCAGCGCCCTTGCCAGGGCCAGCCCATCTCAGCCCGGGAGGCCTGTTAAATGTAGATGCTGGACCCCACTCTCAGAGCTCTGGATGTAGCAGGTATGGGGCGGAGCTCAGGAACCTGCACCTCTAACAAGTGCCTGAGTGCTGCTGGTCCAGGGACCATACCGCACGGGCCGCTGGTTTGGGCCCAGACTAGTGATCCAGCCACGGTCAGTGTGAGGAGACCCTGCCGAGGAATGTCTGCGGAAGGCTGCTTGCTGACAAGGAGACACGAGAGGACCCCCTTCATCCTCTGGACCATGTGACGACAGATGTTCTTTTATCTGCTCTGTCCAGTACGACAGCCGCTAGTCACAGGTGGCCAGAGGGCACCTGAAATGTAGCAAGTGTTACTGTTGAAACTAGAAGTGTTCGTTTTAGTTCATTTTCATTCATCTGAATTTGAACAGCCACCTGTGGGCTAGTGGCTCCCACAAGGGGCCGTGCAGCCACGGACACCGCCAGGTCTAGATGTGATAGCTGGAACTGCGGCTACAGATGCCCTGCCATCAGCCCGAGGGCCAGACACACACAGAGGCTCACAGAGCCACGTCCCGGGGTACTCAGCCCACCCTCAGCGGCCTCTTACTATGAGAGAGCACGCAGTTGTCTGTTGTTTAGGGTGGGGTGAGCAGGTATTCCTATTGCTACAGCCAAAGGTCTCCTGGCCGATGCAGCCACGAGGACATTGAAGTCAGCCTGCAGAAACGTGGGGCTACTCACCCCAAGGATGATGTCAACTGCTGGCATAAGAACAAGAGAAGCAAGACTTGGGTCCCAGTGAGCTGAAGAGGGTCTGACGCGAGGGGATGCAACCAGACCCGTCAGCATTCAAGATCTGGGCACCAACAACCATGGCTCAGCCTACGACAGGAAGCCCACAGCCCTACCTTCTGCCTGCTTGCCAACTAGCATCTGGGGACACTGCTGACCCCCCCACTCCCAAGGACTGAACCCAGCCTCAGGTACATGTGGAACCAACCAGCGGGGGGTTGACATGAAGCTTCTTCCAGAAGATGCAAAGGTTCAGCTGCATAAACTCTATCTTCCTGCTCCTCCTTAAAAATTCCACTATTAACAATAATTGCTGTGGTTTAAGTTAACACCTCTCTCTTTGGAGAGACTAAAATGCAAACGTTCCTAAGAAAGGTACCACTTTAATCCCCGAAGCGTTGATGTGATGAGTTTGTCAGCTATCTGTTAGATCACTGCACTTGTCCCCAAGGGGGAGCATGAGAGAGGCAAGAGAGGTGCACTCAGGGTTCAGCCACTTCGGTTTTACAAAAGCCCATGTTGCTGCTCCACCCATCTGGACTGCCCCACCCCAGGGGCTTCCTGGGGGCCAGGCCCATGGTCGAAATTCCAACAACCCTATCATTCGGCCTGCGACTCACAGCAGGTGGCACAGAGTAATAAAGACTGAAGCTCTGACCTGTGGTCCCAGAAGTGTCCTCCCTGAACCCTGGACAGGGATGAGGGACCTATGCTGGCCTCACTGTGTCCTCCCAAAAGTGTTGAAATCCTGACCCCCTCATAAACGTGAATGTGACCTTATTGGAAACCACAGTCTCTGCCGACGATCAGGTGAAGACGAGGTCAGCCTGGAGTAGGACGGGTGTCCCTTTGAAAAGAGGAGATGTGAAGACAGACACGCACACGGGGAGAACACCATGTGAGGACAAAGGCAGAGACTGGGATGACACACCTACAAGTCCGGAACATCCGGTCCAAACACTGCCAGCACCCCGGCGAGAGGAAGGACAGAGGCCTGGGACAGACCCTGCCCCGATGCCAACAGACTTGGGGCCTCCAGAGCTGCAAGAGAATGCAGTTCTGCTGTATGAGCCACTCCGTCATGGCAGCCCCAGTGAACAGTGCCCTACCTCCCTACTGCTACCAGTCTCACTGGGCTGACCTCCCTCACTGTATTCACTCACAAAACCGTCTCCCCCGTGGGCCCTAAGATCCACAGGCACTGGGACCACATCTGCCCCAGTGCCCACACATTCCAAGCCCACTTCTGGCCCAGCAGAGGGGCTCTGTAAGTGTCCGTCGACTTAACACATGAAAGGTCTGCCCCCAACTGGGTCTGGAGTCCCTGGCAAGAGCATCAATTTCCCCATCTGTCTATGTGCAGGAGATAAAATAATTGGACCGGATGACCTCCGGGGGCCCTTCTGACTACAGAAACTCCAGGACTCTCCACTGAAGGTGTACCCATCCATCAGGGTCACATCGGGACATGAGAAACAGCACGGAGGGTGTTAAACAGAGGGCACGTGACGCAGGAATGGGTACCAGAGGTGTGGGAAGGCTGGGAGACCAGGACAACCTTCCTGCTGGGAGTCTTCAGTGAAGGGAAAGCAGGACCAGCTGTGGGCTTCTGGAAACACATGGACGGGCCACTCCTGTCCCCAAGGCAACAGGAGGCCCAGGGGGCTGTTCCTGCTTACAAAGGACAGTCCCCAAAGGGGCCATTCTCATGGACAGTGGTCACTGAGGCACCAGGTCGGGGGCAGGGGAGACAACAAGCTCACTAGAAGTCCCATGCCCTGACAAAGTAAAGGAATGGTGAGACACAGCCTCCCCCAGGACCTGCCAGCACCAGATTCCTGCCCTCCTCCATTAGGAGGACGTGCTGCTGATGGGAGAAGGTGGGAATGGAATCAACAGAAGATGGCCCCATGAATGATCTGACAGGTGAGGCCGACTTGGGGCTACCTCGGCTCACACCCAGCACCCCCCCGACCTGCCCGGTGCCCTCCAGGAAGGAGGGGTGCCCAGGTGGTACTCACCCACACTGCTGAGGGAGCTGCTGCTTTCTGAGTCTGAGGGCATGATGGACAAGACGCTGTAGGTGGAGCCTGGGGAAGAAGGACAGACCATTTGTTACTAACCCCAAACTACTGTCAGACCAACCGATCTTCAGTCAGCGCCAGACTGAGAACCAACACCACGTCAGGGACTAGAAATCGGATCTGCGGGGTCAGGCAGGTGTGGTCAGCAGGGTCTAGTCCGTGGTATTTCTGCCTGGCCTCTCACCTGACCTTCCCACGACCCTCCTGCCCTGGAAACTTACCCACGCACAGAGAGGAACTCGGAGCCAGTCAGCTGGCCTCTCCTTAAGACATCTGGGGAAAAGCTTAGCAAGGGAGCAACATGCCCCCAGGTTAAAATAGGGTGTGGGGATTTCCTCCAGATCTTTACCAATATGATACTGGCTTCCATGCAGAGAGCAACAGAGTATAAGTTAAACATCTACGAACTATTTGTTCTTTTTGCCCAACTGTTCTGCTCTTGGGTTCTGACTGTATTCAAGCTCGGTCCTTAATAATTTAGTCAGTGACTGCCTCCTTACTAAAAGTTATTCATAAAATTATGAGCAATTACACTGTCACCAAAGCCAAAGAGCAGTCCGTGCTCCCTTTTTGGCCAACACTTAATGTTGGTAACTCGGTGCTGGACACACAACTGCGTCACACCATGGTTCAGTTTGAATCTGAGTATTTTCTAAGCTAAGGAGATTACCCGCCTGGCATCGGTATAACCTCTGGGTCAAGAAACCCCATTTCCGAAGCAGCTCTCGTCCACACATGAGTAGCTGGGTCACACTGAGCAAGTCGTTTGTTTTCTGGAAGTCTGCTCCCTGGCCTGTACAGGGAAGGGGTTCAACCAGATGGCTTATAAGGTCCCATCTCAGGATTACACTTACCCCGATGGCATGCTTTTCCTGTGACTACAGGTGACACCAAGTTAAGAGGGAGAACTGACTCCAAGACTATCTTGGGAACGGAGAAAAGCACCGCACACACAGACGGTGGGTCAAAGAAAACAAGATAACGGCAGGAATGCAATGTTTTGTCCTTGGAACCAAAAGAACTACAGAGGGAAGAGGTGTGTGCATCGGGCAGGGCAGAGCGGTGAGCGGTGAGCTAGAGACGGGATTTTTGCAGTGAAGCCTTTGAACAAGCCTCAGGGCTCTGATGAGGAAAAGCAGCCAAGAACTAATGAGATCTAAGGCTCCAGAACCAGAAAGGTGGGGGCCGGATTTAAGGTTTCTCTCCCCCCTCAACTCTTGACTAGCTACCTAATACCTGCACACCCTCCGAAGGGACAGCGAAGGGATGAAGAGTTGGGGGTAAGCAGGGCAAAGGAAGGAGGAGACTTGTGGGGGCAGGGAGGGAGGAGACCACCAGGGTGACAAGAGACCCCGAGCAGAGGAGCAACCTCAGGGGGAGGAGATGTAGGGCAGACAGGCAGGCAGCCCTGGTATACTGGTGTGCAGGGGAGCTGGCAGCCGTGCCCCCCAGAAAAAGAGATGAAAGCAGAGAGCAAAAAGGAAAAAACAAGGAAAAGGGACTTTGGTAACGGCGAGAACTAGGACAGTGGCCGGGCATGACTGGTGGCCTCATTATTGAATTTTCTGAGACTCTCTTGAGAACCTGTGGGTGTTATGTCATTATATATTTGTCCAAACCCCTGGAGTGTGCAACACCACAAGTGAACCCTAATGTAAACTACAGAGTCTGGGCGACAAGGATATGTCCGCGTAGGTTCATCAATGGTAACAAATGTACCACTTGGGTGCGGGATGTTGATAGTGGGTGAGGCCGTACACGTGTGGGGCTGGGGGGATACGGGAATTCTCTGTGCTTTCCCCTCAGTTTTGCTGTGAATCTAAAAGGCTCTTAAAAAAAATTTTTTTTATTAAAAAAAAAAAAAGAACCTGTGGATGTTTTGCATGGATTGAAAAGGATGATTTCGGGAGTAGAAGACAGATGATCTGTCTTCAGATAGGACTGTCAAAGGGATCCATCTGTGCCATCCGGCCTCCAGGAGCAGGACCCGCCACAGCAGGGAGGGGCTGGAGAAAGCCGCGGGTGGGGGCGCCCAACTGTCAGGGCTGGCTCCGTCTGAAGAGACCTGGGAAGGGCGGGGACCTCCTCAACGCACACCTCACTTCACAGAGGCCCCCTGCCACCTGGCCCGGAGGCCACATCACTCGAAGGAAGAAGGAACCAGAAAACCCCATTCAGCCCTGAAATTCCTTGATCCCACCAAAAAATGAAGAGCAACGTTCAATGAAATACCTCCTGTATTTCAAGTTCCACCCACACGATTCATTTTGCTGTCCATTCAACAACAAAACAATGAGCGCCACCGATTTCTCCAATCATCTCTCTTCCCACACCATGAACAGTAGTAGGCATTGCATAAGGATCGGTGAAGGTAGAATTCAGGCACTCCGTTGGTATCTTCAAACGACAAAAACGTCAACACAATGCCAATTTTCTCAACTCAACTGACAGTGTCTTAATTATTTTTTTCTTTACAGGGACAAGGAAGGCTAGCCAGCTGGTATGTTGGTGGACTGTTTTCGAAAGATGCCCACTCAGAAAAGCAGGCACAAATAAACTCTCCCACTCACACCTCCCAGATCTCTGAGCCTGCGACACCATGGCCCGCACACGGACAGCCGCTCCCTGCAGGAACGCCTTGCTTCTTCCTCACTACGGGCATCAGCAGAGCCCCATCTTCCAGTAAAGCACCCCTCCTCATCAAGGCGTCTCTCTCCTCCCCCATGGCCAGTTTCCACTGTTAATTAAATTTGGCAGACATCTTTGTCTCTCTCCACCCATCTCCCTCCCTGGCTAGGGGAGTCAATTCGCCAACCAACACATTCTGTTCTTCTTCCCTGTCTCCAAAGCCCTGCCGAGGTTCTGGGGCATGACCTGGGGGCGGCGTGACATCTCTATCTGCATCTCTGGGCATCTCTGGGCATCTCCGCCCCTGAGTCGGCTGGCAGAGCTCCTAGGAGCTGGGAGCTGGCAGGGAGTGATGAAAATTGGACGGGGCCCAGTTTTTACAATGTTCCCAGGGCCTTGGACGTCATTCAGAGGGAAAAAAAGGCCCGAAGACAACGTTGTCTTGGTCATGCTTTGTCTCTGCTGCTATTGTTGTCTTAAAAAGCCTATGTGGTCAGGATGTCGGAAAGGGCAAGAGGAGACACTCTCCTCCAAAGTCACGCAGTGTCCTTTCAAAGCCAGTGGTTTCAGAAGGGCGGGCATCAGGCGTCATCTACCTCTGGGGTTTCACAATCAAATCTGGAGGCCTGCAGGAGTCTCATCTCATGGGTGCACACTTCCCAGCCCCCCACAATTTCCTCAGGAGCTCCACGAAGGCACCCGCACCCCACGTGCCCTGAAACCTAAGGCATGCGCTCCACCTGGCACAGAGGCCCAGACTACCGAGGGCTGTGGAATCAGCCTGGCTCCCCGACTGGCACTGCCCCCTCTCCCTCCCCATGTGCCCCCCCACACCTGCACAGGACAGCCAGGCACTGCCACCCAGAGTGTTCCCACAAACCCAGGCAAGTCTGTGCACAGGTCCTGTTAGGACCCAGAAGTCAGGTGATCTGGAAACATTTCCAGGAAAGGAGAACAGAGCATGAGCCTCGATTTTTTCATGGACGTGTAACCAGACAGGGACACGAGGAAGGTCTCTATTGCCATTGGGGCTACTGGGGGACCCAAGCAAAGTGCAGGCTCTGATGTGGGCAGATGAGGGGGGCCTGAGAATCTGCGTTTCTAACAAGCCCCCAGGGCATGGGGGTCCACAGAATAAATGCAAGGCAGCAGGGCACCAAGGTTCACCAGAGTCATCAGGTGGGAAGCCAATGTAAGCTATGGCAGAGGCCGTGAAACAGAGCCGGCAAACTCTGGGACCCATGCATTGTCTGCATCCTTCCCAAGAGCCCAGCCCCTGCTAATTGTGTTTACTCTGTGACTCAGCCCCACTGGGTCATGGAGACCACTTCAAAAGAACTTCCAGTAAAATCACCCGAGCGACAACAGAATGCCCCAGCCCACAGCCTGTGAGGCCCAAGAGAGAAAAACTTAGCTTGTCACCTAATACACCCCTCCATTCACCTGGAGCTCATAAAGGCCCCGGTGACTCACGCTTCCTCCCCATGAAAACTGTAAGCATCGAAGGGACTTGTTCCAGCTTTGAGCCACTCCCTACGCTCCGGGAGGGCGAGGAGAGGGTGGCCTGCCGCACGGACCTGAGACAGCTCCGGATCACTGGGAGCACACGCGAACCAGCCCCCCCAAGCACTGAAATTGATAGCTGTACTAGAGTGACAAGGTCAAACAGGGCAGAATGACAGACGGACAGACTATACAGTACTCTAATAATAATAATAATAATAATAGCAGCTAACAGACACTGAGCATTATTAAGTGTCAAGTTGCGCTAAGCACTTGGCATGCATCGTCTCTGTGAATTCCTAAAACAACCCTGAGGCTGTCATTAGGCCCATTTTACGGAGGAGAAAACTAAGGGTTAGGAAAATTAAGAAACTTGCTTAAGGTCTTGATAGAGCCAGTAAGAGTATGAACAAGATACAAGCCCGGTTTAGCCCAAAGTCTGCACTCTTGATCCCTATACCCAACACTGCTGCTGGGCTCTGAAGGTGGAAGGGCAGTCAAGGGAGGCTTCATGGAGGAAGCAGCCTGGAGCTGGCCCTGGAGGATGGTGAACTTGGACAAGCATCCGAGAAGCCAACTCAGCCTGGAAGAAACACAGGCAGAGCCTGTCCCCCTGTGCAAGTGGAAAGTCTCAGAGCAGAGCCAGCCCTGCTCTGGACCAGCCCCCCCACAACCCCCAGAAGGGGCTTGTGCCCTTCCTGTCCTCCTTCCCCCACCAAGAGGACACTCAACAGCCATTGTTGAGATGGCACTGCTGAGCCAGAGATGGGGACGAAAACTGGCAAGAGGGTGAGAGGAGCCATGGCTCCATGGCCCTGACATGCACCGCTGCTTCCTGCTGCCCCAACCCCCGTGCCCATGCTGGGTGCAGAGGC